CAAACTAAAAGTTTGATGATTATATTACAATTTTTAAAAGTAAGGTAACCAATATGTAAGCGTCCTAAAAGTTTGGAGACCGATAATGTACCTAACCCTTTTTTAATTAGTATTTGATGTTTTAAAATTTTAAATGTTAATGATATATTTATAATTCATTTATTTACATACATTTGTATAAAATATCTGTTAAATAGTATTTCTTTTATCCATATATATATATATATATATATATATATATATATATATAAATTTATATGAAAACCAATATATATTATAGATTTAGAAATAACACCAAAATTTATATTGAATATAGACATTTCTTTTTAAAAACAACAAGTTATGAATATTAGTGATTTTTTTCATTAAGAATATTTTTATTATGGATGTAACATTAAAAATTTACATAATCTATAGTTGTAGGGCATTTCTAACACACAAAACTTGTATAGTTTTTGATTTCACACCAAATAATCTCTTACCCATTGGCTTTTATGTTTTCTCATTTGTCATCTCCATTTCATTTTTAGTATAGTCTAGTTACATATCTATTTCTTACATTTGATTATGTTAGTTCTTCTGATCAACTGAAATACACTAAGAGGAGATGAGTCGACCTTCTAAAATTTTGGTATGAAAGCAATAAAAAAATAAATCTTTTACACAACGATTTAGAGTGGTTCAACTTTATCAATCAAAGTCTACATCCATTCCTTAGCATCCACACTAAAGATTTCTCAAATCCACTAGATTTGAGAAATCTTTATGAAGAAGCTATAACCTTACAAACATTTCAAGTTTTATACCCTAAAACCTTGAATACACTCTCCCAAAGAGTAATTACAAATGACATAATGCCAAAAATAACCCCCAACATTACCAAAATGGTCATTTTGGCCCATATTCTTTTTTGGAGCATTTTAGTCCCCAATATTTCACTTTGGGGGAAAAAGCTCTCTCTATAGATAAAAATCATTTGTTAACACGTGATTAACACTCCAAAATATGATCCCTTTTAACCTAAAATAAAATATTGAGGGCTAAAATGTCCCAAAAAAAGAATAAAGGACAAAGTGACTATTCTTTCAAATATTAGGGGCATTATTATCCTAAAATCAAACCTTTGGGGCTAAAATGCTCCAAAAAATATAATATGGGACAAGATGACCATTTTGGTAAACGTTGGGGGGCTAATTTTAGTATTATGACCAAAATATGTTTGCACAATTTAAACACTTACCCAAAATCACACTTGAACAAAATAAACAATGTAACTCAAATGTGTTTACAACAAAGAATTTGACAAATTAAGCACAAAAAATATTTTGATGTTGGAAGGTTGGTTCAATATGGTTCTTGTTGACCTTGTGATGCTTTGAATTTCAATTTATACAATTTTCTTATCAATTCTTGTCGTTTGGAGCCATTGGGAGTCATTATAGTCGTTAACTCCAATAAGAAATAACATTTATTGCATAATGGATCAATCATTTGGTGAAAGGGATCAATCCTTTTCACCGGGATATCGATCCTTTGGTGAAGGTATAGATCCAAAAGTTTATGGAATCTAATGGATCGATCATTTAAGCCAAAAAATCCTTGAAAACTTGACTTTAAAGCGCGAAAATGATCGAGTATATTTTCAAAAAAGGTATACTAAGATGGAAAATATTTAAAATACATTTTTAAGTTAATTTGGACTTTGAATTATTTTTATAAAGTTTTGACAAATTCGATTAAGTCTGAAATCAATTTTTTTAAATATTGTTATATCAAAACATTAATTCAACAATCTCTCCATTTTTTATATAACAAAACTCTTTAAAAAATTCTCCCCTTAGAAAAATAATAAAAGGATTTATGAATTTATTAAAAAAAATTAATGATCGATTTTATTTAAAAAACATTTTTCAATTTATAATTACTTCGCCCATTTTTTTATATTTAATTCACAATGCTAGTTCTATATAACAAGGAGATAAAATAATGAAAATAAAACTAGAATCAAATAGAAACATATAAAGAATTAATATAAGTATCAAGGTACTCTAACATAAAAGATAAAATCCATACAAAATATAAAGTATCACAGTCATAAATATCCAAATAATCAAATAATAATGTATAAAATACCTAATATAACATCAAAAGTCCAAAAGACATAAATGTAGCAAATTCTAATGTACAAAAAATGATATGATATGACATCCATGCGCATTGAAATGATGAAGGAGGGAAATAAAATCCATCGAGCTAGTGTTGAATCGCTCATGTAACACCCTCATACCGGAATGTAACACCCACAAATCAATATGAGTGTCTCGGTTTTATTCAAGGTGTTACATTAGGGTCATCGGATTAACCCATGGTAAAAATCAGGGGAAAATAAATTTTTTGTTAAACCTTTAAAGCCATAAAACAATTTATAAATAAAAATACAAGTTCAAAAATCATTCATATAATAATAAAAATATAATTCAATCATACGCAGTTTCATACAAGTTTTAAACTCAACGTAAAAATAAATGTGCCCTACATGTCCCTTAATTACACTTGTACCATACTCTGCAAGTGAAGCCAATGGAACTCCCATTACTGATGTTGATAAATGCACATGATCGAATCTTTTTAACATGAAATGATAAGTAATAGAGTGAGTTTTGGGAAGGTTCAGTAATACGGAATTATCAGATGATGCTTGAGGACAAGTAAATATATGGTAATGAATAAAACTTTATTATTGATCCAGACATATACATGCTCTAGTGATGAGTTAAGGTTTCATTAATTGATTCTTCAAGTAATAGTCAGGAAACCTACCGTCTGAAAGAAACATTCAAGCAAACAAATTCAAGATATTAAATTGAGAAGTCTAGTGTGTGCCAACAAAATCAGAGCGAAGTGTACAAATAGTATATTTTAGTAAAACATATTTTCAAACCACGTTAATACCCTCAAACTGGACACCAATATGTAATTCCCCAAAACAACGTCCACAAGAACTTACTCTTGGCCCATTAGGCGTATGAGCTAACCTAAGAGGGCACCTTGGGTCCATAAGGACTTACCCTAATCGAAGAGCATGAGCCCACATAAGGGATGCCTCAGGCCCATAAGGACTCCCGTGCCCATTGGGCATTGGAGCCATCCTAAGGAGTAAATTAGGATCCATAAGGTCTTATCCTAGGCTTATTGGGCCTAAGAGCCTACCTAAGAGTCTCCTTAAGTCTATAAGGAATTATCAGTTTGATCAGAGATGAACCTGCATAGACTCCATAATAGATCGTGGATAGTACCCCCAATATAAATCAGATTTAACAGTAACAATAATATCAAAAATCATGAGTCAAATATGTTTTATATCATAAATAGAATCATATTTTAAAATTAGAGAATATATTGATGTGCATAAGGAACACATTAGAGGATCCAATTATTTTTTAGAGATACTTGGTAATTATCAAGAAGGGAAACATGAAACTTCTATAAATTGATCTGAGTCCAGAAATGAATTCCTATTAAAAAGGCTTCGATAAGCTTACGAATCTAAGTAGACATTTAGAAAATTGATACTTTGGGATCATTTAGGATTCAAATACAACATGAATGTATTTAGGAACTTTTGTATCATAAATATTTAATATTCAGATATAACATGATTGATTCAATTATTAAGGCTATTAGGGGTATTAAACATTTTGATTTATTGAAGAAATTTTGATAAATCATCTTAAAAAGGGGAAGAGTGATTTACAATGTTCAAGATTTTTAACGACTCATCAGACTCTCAAATCAAATTGAACTGAGCAGATCCCAACGATGCAATATTTAACAAGTGTTTAGATAGGGAAACATCAAAATGTCACTTTTTAAATATCGACTATATTATATAATTAAATAGATTACCTTCACAATTCATCATTGAACGTATCTCGAAGAGACGAGCATAAATACATGCAATATTTGTTATATTTTAGTGTCATACCAGAATTAGAAAATTTTAACACAAGGGATCGTGTTCAATAACCTTCAAAGATGATACAACATTTAAGTTTATTAATGTTTTTAGAATATAAAAATCTTTTAAATATACATTTACTGACATATACACCGTTACTACCCACTTAACCCGTGCAAACATGTGTATTGGACACATTACATACATTTTTCTCTTTTAGATAAAATCTTAATATATTTCTATTTTTTCCGTTTTCCTTTCTTTCATTTGGACTCGTGACTAATGCAAATACTAATAATTTTAATCGAAATTATTACCACATATAATAAAAATATTTTTAAATAACCTTCTTCAAATATTATTCTTATAATTAATCATTAAATTATTATTATTTCCGTAAAATAACCATCAATCTACCTATGCTTTAATTAATTTTGAAGTAAACATTACATGAATGAATTTAGGGAATTGAAATACTGGTTTCTGAATTTTTTTGATATTTTATTTATACTTTTTATTAATAATTTGTGTTTATTTTTAAAATTTTATAAATCCATTTTATAATATAAAATTTTATACATATATTTAACTCATATATATAAGGTCTAAAATTACTCGCATTTTGTAGTAGTCAACTAAATTAAATTACGACAGTATTGGCAAAGAGAAATTAATACTAGAGTTATTTTTGTAATTTAATATATTGATTACATATCAAGATTGTTATGGAAAAGTTAATTTATTATGTGTAATATTATTATATTAAAAATAAAAATCAATTAATGTATAAGAAACATTGAGTAATAAAAATGTAAATTAAAAAGTAGAAGAAATAATAGGGGGGGGGGGTTTACAATTATGAGCTGCAAAGTGAAAGCGGCCAACGACAAAGCTCTCTCTCTCTCTCTCTCTCTGGTTTATTATTTCATCATCTCCTGTCTTCTTCGTCTTCACCATCTGATTATCTCTCTTAATCATCCTCAATCTCCATCAATTTTTAATTCAATCTCTTTGCTTTTTATTCTGTGTAAATTTTGCAGAGTGCAGCTGTTAATGATTATGCTCTTGTGTTCTCTTCCCTTCTTTCTTTAATTTTCCCAGAGACTAAAGCTTTTACTTTATAAGGGAGAAAAAAAATTCTAAATTTTCAAAGGGGGGCAGCACTAACTCGTAGGAATACTTTCTCTGCCTTTCAATATTTCCAGTTGTCGTCTCTTTCTAGTTTTTCCTCCTTTTAATAATAAAAAAAATTTCTTGATTCGTATTTAACAGCAACTCATACTTGCTGTTTTGTTTAATTTCTCTTTCAATTATTAGTCCCCCCATTTTCATTGATTTTTTCAACATACCCAGAAAGCATCGCAACTTTGTGTAGGGGAGGGAGCAGATTTGGTCTATACAATTCAACTTAATTCTATACACCACCATTGATGAGGACAAGAAGAAGAAAAAGATCTTGATGCACCATTGATAACACACAATAAAGAAGAAGAAGAAGATTGTTGTTCTTAATTTTGACAACCTGCCTCATCGATGACACAATTAAATTAAAGGGAGATGCAGCAAGAAGGTGGTGGAGCGCAGCCATCTCAATACGGGGAGATCAGTGGTCCTCCACCGACTGGTCCAGTAAGCGAGGCGTCGGAGCAGTTAGTGGAAGCGGCATCGCCTATAAGCAGTAGACCGCCAGCTGGAAATTTAGATGAGTTCATGAGGCTAGTAAGTGTTGGCAGTGGAGATGAGTTGGGATTAGGGGATCGTGGCGGAAGAGGTGGTGGTGGTAGAGGTGCAAGTGGGAATCGGTGGCCACGTCAAGAGACTCTCGCTCTTCTTAAGATTAGATCAGATATGGATGCTACTTTCCGTGATGCTGCCGTCAAGGGCCCTCTTTGGGAAGATCTTTCCAGGTAAAGTAATCATTTTCTTTTCTTTTAACTCTACTTTGGCGAAAAGAAAAAAAAAAGTAAATTCAACAACAGGTAAAAATCGTCATCGTGAATTCATAAAAAGCATTGCTCTCAGTGAAAGTAGTCATGGGAATGTTGTTTTTCTCTTCTTCAAGATCTCCTCAGTCTGCCCCTTTTTCTTCTTTTTTTCTCTCTCAATCAATCTGCGCGCGCATGGCTTCTATTTGTTTCCATCACGACTTACGAGCTGGCGGTATCTTCTTTCTTACAATTAAGAAATGCCCAGATCCACTGCAACAACTCTAACCCAATCCTATCTTTAGTTTGAAAATCCCAAGAGGAATTATTTAGAAGCCATGGAAGGGACAGCCTCCCGCAGTCTCTACCTTCATTCACTGCATCATTCACCTCCTTTTGTTCCTTTTTCCATTGGGTTCTCTCCATCTTAACACCAATAGTAATGGTGGTATTGATTATTACTGTGGAAAGTAGTCAGTTGGCAACCGTGTGAATGCATTTTCATAACTTGTCATTGCAAAAGGATGGTTCCATTCATTGTCTCATCTCTTCTTTTTTTTTTTTTTGATGCTTAGCATTAATTGAGATTAATCGGGAAAAAAGGTTTGGTTCAGATGATTGTCAAATCAATTAATAGTATAGACGATTATGGGAAATGATAATAATATTTATTAATAACGAGGTGGCGTGGCTTGCAGGAAGCTGGCGGAGCTGGGTTACAAGAGGAGTGCCAAAAAGTGTAGGGAAAAATTCGAGAATGTCCACAAGTACTACAAGCGAACAAAGGAAACTCGAGCTGGACGTCAAGATGGTAAGAGTTATAAGTTTTTTAGCCAGCTAGAGGCTCTTCAGACAACTTCCGCCACTGCTCCTCCCAGCGTCTCAATACCCGTCACACCCGCCACCGTCGCTAATGCCGCCAACTTTGAAATCGCTCCCTTTTCAGTTGGGATTCCCATGACCATAATTCAACCTACAACGGCTATACCAATGTCTTCCTCTCTGTTAGCCATTCCTGGATCTGCTTCTGCGCCAGTTCCAATGCAAGTGCAGGCTGCACTACCTCCTGTTGCCGCCGCCGCTACCACCACAGCCGCTCCATTTGGAATTAGCTTCTCTTTCAACAGTTCAATTTTTTCTCAAGGCTTTGATGACGATGACGATGACGATGACGAAGAAGAAGATGAAGTTGGAGAACCGTCGAGCATGGCTGGCACTAGCCGTAAACGAAAAAGGTCGTCTTCACGAGGGGACGATAGTACGACAAAGAGGATGATGGAGTTCTTCGAGGGTCTAATGAAACAAGTCATGCAGAAACAAGAAGCCATGCAGCAAAGGTTTTTGGAGGCCGTAGAGAAGAGAGAGCAAGATAGGACGATAAGAGAAGAAGCTTGGAAAGGACAAGAGATGGCAAGGTTATCTCGCGAACATGAACTCATGGCTCAAGAACGTGCTATTTCTGCTTCAAGGGATGCTGCCATTATTTCCCTTTTGCAGAAGATTACTGGTCAGACCATACAGTTACCTACAACTGTTACCATCCCCCCCGATGCTCCACCTCCGCCTCCCACCGTTTCCGTAATTCTACCAGACGTCCCTATTCCTACGTCAGCTCCACCGTCGCATCAGCCACCGTCATTACTGCAGCAACAACAACAGCCACCTTCACTTGCATTGCACAATCAATTCCACCAGCAGCAGCCGCATCAACTTCGAAATATTGAAGTTGCGAGGCATCAGCAACAGCCAATTTCTTCTAAAGTAGTAATGGCGATCCCGGAAAAGAAAGTCCCGCCACAGGAGATTGGTGGGAGAGGGAGCATGGAGCCTGCCTCGTCTAGATGGCCTAAAGCTGAAGTTCTTGAACTTATAAACCAGAGGAGTAGGCTTGAAGCCAGGTACCAGGAGACTGAGCCAAAAGGCACCCTTTGGGAAGAAATCTCCGCCGGTATGTCCAGGCTGGGGTACAAGAGAAGCGCCAAACGATGCAAGGAAAAATGGGAGAACATCAACAAGTACTTCAAAAAGGTGAAAGAAAGTAGCAAAAAACGACCCGAGGATGCCAAAACATGTCCCTACTTTCACCAGCTCGACGCCCTTTACCGTAAGAAAATACTTGGAGGTGGGACTAGCAGTGTTAGCTTCAGTTACCACAATAAAGCTGAAGAAGAAACATCAGGGCAGCATCAAGACCCCCCACCAAGCACGGCAGCCCTGCGACAATCTGAAAACGAAACCGGACCTACTTCTGATGTGGTGGCAAGCAACGATGGAGGTGCAAAGAAGGTAAATTTATTTTTACTTACCAGCTTCTTCATATTCATTAGTCACCACTGAATTGGATAAAGCACTTTATGTGATGCGAATTAATGAATTGTTGGGTTGGTATTGAAGCCAGAAGACATTGTGAGGGAGCTGATGGAGGAGCCAAGGGAGGATTTGCACCACCATCACGGTCATGGACAACCCTTGTTGGTGGATGGGTATGACAAGATTGAAGAAGGTGATAGCGATACTATGGATGATAAGGAAGATGAAGAGATGGAAGAAGAGCAAAAGATGGGTTATAAGATAGAATTTGAGAGACGGAATTCAAGCGCCCCCAATGGAGGAGGGAATGGTGCAGGTGCAGGGGCAGGGGCAGGGACACCCTCCTTTTTTACCATGGTTCAATAACACCCTTGGCCATGTGTGAATAAAAGAAAGACCTTCTACTTGTATCTTCAACAGCTAGCTTCCACTAGTTATTCCCCCTCCCCAAAAAAAATTTCAGTCCTTAGCTTACCTTTCTATTATAGTATTGAAACGATTGAAACGATGATTATCGACAAACAAATAAATACGATCGAAAAGAAAAAACAGATAACACCAGGACTTACGTGAAAAACTCAAAAGAGAAAAACCACAGACAGAGGAGAAGAATTTTAGTAATATGAAGAAAGAAAATACAATAAGATTTTGGTGAAAAAAAAAGAACTTGATTTCTAACCCTGACCCGTAGTATCTATTTATAGGGATAGATACTTGATTGCAAAGGAAAACTAAATAAATTAGAAATCTACTTTAATAAAATTTTCTACTTCTAATCAAATTGGATTTCATATTTTCCCAATATTTATATATTAATTAATTTGTACTACTTTGAATTCGAGTCAAACTCTAACAAATCTCTACCTTGACACGAATTCTGAAAGTGAAAAGGTTTCGATACAAAATACCCAAATTTGATGTGACACCCAAACTCAACAAGAAATAATTCTTCACTTCAACAAACAAGTTCTCCACAACACCCCTTAAAGGGGCAATCTTCAGTAATGGACACTGACCAAATCCAAGCTTCTTTTAGGCTTGGATTTAGTCTTCACATCGACTTGGTTATAATAAATTCCAACTTTTCTCACAAATGTTTCACCACGAGTGTAACATCCCAATCAGTTGGTCAGTGACCAACATCTAAGAACTCAAAACTTAGTGGTTTAATTATAATAATTTAAAAAATCAAGGACTTATTGTGGAAATTGTTGGTTAGGATATGATATCAAATTTTGGATTATGGAAGGGCAATATGGTAATTTCTCCATAAAAGATTTTATCTCATGTTTCTTTTAAGGGACAAGCACATGTATGTGGGGGGAAAAGTCTGGAACTTTGCTTGTCATCTTCCTCTGTTGTGAACTCACTCCCAAAAGGTAAGATTTTGAAATTTGTTGTGTTCCTTAAATTTTGGGTTGGTATTCGAAGCTTGGGTGTTATATAAGCTTAAGGAAAGCTTATATAAGACAAACAACAAGAAAAGTAAATTAGAGATGAAATTGTAAAATGGGTTTAGAAATGAAATTTTGATATGGAGTAGCTTTTGAAGTTTTAATGAGATATTTGACTTGTCAATGATCTAACTTAAGAGTTAGGAGTGTTAGAATTGGCTAAGAGCATGTTTGAAATTTTGGTATGATTTTGAGATTTAAGTGTTCAAACGGGATTTTGGATAATTATGAGTAATATAGGAAGCCAAGTTAGTATGGATGTATAAGGGTGAATTTTAAGGCTTAATGTGGGATAAAAATAAGAGATTTAGGTAGATTTTGGGTGATTTTTGAAGTAAAAATGGCTATTATGGGCATCGAGTATCGGTACCATTAGAACAGTACCGATACTTCAAGGGATAATTTGTGTATTTCTTAAGGGTAGTATCGATACCAATTGAAGAGGGTATCGATACTGAGAGGGTAGTATCGATACCAGGGGTATGGTATCGATACCATTTTTAATATACGAATACATAATGTCAAATCGGTATTGATACCTTTTAGAAGGTATCGATACCCTTGAAGGGAAGTATCGATACTGTAGGGGTAGTACTGATACTTCTATGTATGAAAGGGAAATTGAGAGTTTCATGCATCGCAAGTTATTCTGATTAGATATAAATGATTCGAAGAATGATATTGATTTCCGACTGTTTCGTGTAGTGATTGAACGTAATCGACTTTCTGTCAGCTCGACATATTAAGTACCAATTCGAAGGGGTTAAGGATTTTGGCTTAGAACTTCAGTGAGGCAAAGGTGAGTGCAACTTCTCGGTTTTGTAACATAATTGAGGAAGGCTTGCGATAAGCCAACCTCAGTGTTTTCGATCGAAAACTTTATAATTTCTTTATTGTTATCTTGCAATGTTTTATTCAATTTATATTATACAAGCTATGTTTTATGATTATATGATAATGGAAGTGAGAACTTTGAACAATTGAATATGAAAAGACTCTATGAGAGAGATACTATGTGAATAAGAAACACTTCGAAAAATGATTGAATATAATTATGTGATTAATCACCCAAAGTATATGTATGAGGATTAGAGGTATAGTTGGCATGCCAAGAGTCGAGGGTTTTATGTGTTCTTTCAGAACAATTATGTGGTCATTCGAGACAAATATGTGGCACTTCGGTGCAACCTATGTGGCACTTCGGTGCAAATTACAAGTTGTGGTGACAGCATTAGTGCATAAACTCAATGTACTCAAATACCTAGAGTTCTCAGTAGTATATATTGGGCATTTGAAACAAAGTTATACAAAGAGAATAAAACATAAGTATATTGTTTAGAGATGGAAAATAGGTTGAAATGCTTTATGAAATACTTTATAAAATCCAATAAAGTTTTCATTTAATAAGTTAGCACTTACTAAGTCATCGACTTAGCGTGTGATTTCCTCATGCGTAGGTTTGAAGAAAGCAGAAGAGTGAAGCTTAGCATGGATAGCGTACACCTTTGAAGATCAGATCAGAACAAATTAAATGTATGTGTTTTGTAATATTGTAACTGTTGGCGTGTATTAAGCGTTTAATATGGAAATGCTCTGATCAATTTTGTAAACTCACATATTTTGTATTTCTGTATAATATCAAAGTTTTATGTAAATATGAATGCAAAATGATTTTCTTATTTAAATTAAGGTTTTATTTTGTATTTTGATCAAAAATTTAAATTGTTCCTAATTTTAATTACATGTGTTTTGAAAAGTCAATGTGACACATTGGATTCGTATTCGGGTCGGGTACAAGTTAGGGGTGTTACATTTAATGGTATCAGAACTATGGTTTAATTGGTTTTAAATTCGAAATAATGTCGCTTTTGTTTTAAAAATTGTACATGCCAACTTTTAATAAAGTTTTTCTGATCTAATAAGGTGATCAGTATGTCATCCTTGCTAATTCCTTTAGTAAATTGATCTTAATAGATGTCGAACTTTGAAGGCTCCCGAAGTGATGTGGGAGATAGGATGAAAGAGAGTAGTAACTCACCTGCCTCTAGCAGGCAGGGTGAGGAGCATACACAACAGGGAGTGCCTATGCAAGATCAGGGGACCTTCTTCCAGACGTTGGACGTGATTCTGATTCGTTCCAACCGTCTGCCCCCTCAGCCCTAAAGATGAATATCCCTAAGGACCTAAGAAGTCTAGGAGCGCCTGAATTTAGGGGAGAAGCTGAAGAAGGTTCGGTTGTCATCGATATGTGGCTTCATGACTTGAAGATAATGCTAGAGAATCTTTATTATTCTAAAATGGAGAAATTGGATGGTGCAGTTTCATTATTAAGAGGTTAAGCCGTAATTTGGTGGTCTAATATGACGATGAGAATTACAAGAGAGCGTGTAATATGGTTATTCTTTCTAGAAGAGTTTAAGAATAAACACATAGGGGATCAAATCATCAGGCAGATGAAGCAAGAATTTATGAGTTTAAAGCAAGGGAATCACACGGTGTATGAGTTCGAGTGCAAATTCAACAAGTTGAGTCGATTTGCTACCAAGTTGGTTCCTACAGAAAATAACTCTTGTGATTGGTTTGTGGAGGGTTTACGCCTCAGATTGAAAGAGTTATTGTTGGTGCTTAACCTCTCTTCCTTCCAAGAGGTAGTGAACCGAGCTAAATCTTTGGAGCGAGCTCAAAATGAAAGGTTTGCGGAGAAACGGACGTAATGGAATAAGAGATCGGGTGCGTCGTCCAGTGCTTCCCAAATAAAAAAGAGTAGAGGTTCGAGTTCTCAACCTCAGACTAGAGCATAATCTGTAGCATCCTCCGTTAGAGGATCATATCTTGGAAGATAAAGACAACTTATTCGGTGGAATCCGAGTTGACAAGATGAAACAATGTCAGCATTATGGGAAAACCATAGTAGAGTTTTTCGAAGGGTTTTTAGAGCTTGTTTTAAGTGTAGAGAGACATGACATTTTATTCGAGACTGCCCATTAATGACGGGAGAGCCTACCCAAACAGAGAGATCCATGGCTGCACCGATGAGAGGTAGATGTCGAGGAAGTGGAAGTGGAATGAATCAATCTGAGTCAATCGCTCAACCAGAAGTACACTCTACCGCTCGGGTGTACAACCTGAAGATTGTGATGATCCAGAAATCATTGCAGCTACATTTCAGATAGCTGGTAAATCTATTTTAGTTTTGATTGATCCGAGATCGAATTATTCATATGTTAGTAGTAAAATGGTCAAAGACTTGAGAATTTCGTTAGTGAAGTAATTGTGATGAATCTGTTAGGATATAGTGCTCGGGTGAGAAAAATCTATCGAGGGTGTTCTATATGGATTCAGGGAATTGAATTCCCTGTTAATCTAATGGAATTACCCTTTGACGAATTCGAGGTTATCCTTGGTATGGATTGGCTTTACCATTATCATGTCAACATGGATTGCCGACTTAAGCGAGTTGTGTTAACAAGTCTTGATGGTTTGGAAGTTAGTGTGGTTAACGAAAGAATCAATTCTTTAGCTAATGTGATATCATTGATATCGGCCAGGAAGTTAATGTTGCAAGGATGCCAAACGTATAATGCTAATGTAATTGATACAAGAGTTAAAGAAAAGAAGCTTGAAGATATTCCGACAGTCATAGAGTTTCCAAAAGTATTTCTGGATGAGTTACATGGTTTACATCAAGATAGAAAGGTTGAATTCCAGATTAAAATGATGTCAGAATCGGTACCAATTTCAATGGCTCCTTACA